AAAACACCGTTTTATTCTTATCGTGGAGGACTACGCGGGGTTAATTTTACGATTGCTTGACGTACGTTGCGCGAGCTCACCACCCCGGCAATATGATTATAACGCTGAAAAACTTACAGCAGCAAACCTTCACGATAGAGATCGACTCGTCGCAAACTGTAAGTAAAATTTGGCAAGATTTAGTGATGGAACCGACTTTTTCGAGCGGTTAACGATTCAGATATTTGCCTTATCAGGTCAAAGATCTCAAGGAGAAGATCGAAACGCAGAAAGGCTTCCCTGCCGAACATCAGAAGTTAATATACGCTGGTAAGGATAACATACAAATAACCTAATACATCGGGAACATTATTCAACCGCCCGGCATGCTCGTCAACACAGCTGGGAGAAAACCCGCGTTAGAATAATATACTGATTATTGCATGGCCCGTATATGTTTAAATATAGCTCCCTCGGGATAGGAATGATCTTGCAGAAACGTTCATAGGTTATGTTTCCGTCTTTCACACGTTGGGGTCTATGACAAATTTTTTTCTTTTTTTACTTTTATTATTGTAACGATGTGCAAATACTTGCAGGGAAAATATTAGCGGATGAGCAGCCTTTAGCAGAATATAATATCGATGAGAAGAAATTTATAGTTGTTATGGTAACAAAGCCTAAAACTGGTGCTACACCTAAAACAAGCGAAGAACAGCGCACAGAGGGTGATAAGAAGGAGGAATCTACTAGGTAATTTAAGGATTGCGATATTTTGCGTAAAACGCGATAAATATATCGTTTGTTGTAAAATATTTATTATATCAAACATTAATTACAACAAATATAATCATTTGTCAAATATTATTGAGAGAACAAAACTGTTTAATTTTTTTTTTAGATTATAGAATAGAAATTAGTTTACTTCATGTTTCTTTATCTTTCTGTTGTAGCTCAGCAACTACACAACCTAGTTCGAACCCTAATGTTCAGGATACTACACGAGCAGCTAGTAATGTGCAAGAGCAACCCATAGCAGCTGCTCCAGTGGCTGGTCAAGCAGAAAGTGCCTTGCTAATGGGGGAGGATTATAATACTATGGTAAACAACATTATGGATATGGGGTACGTACAGAGAAAAATGACACACTGAACTGCAATTATTAGTATTTATATAATAATCTTATCGTTTGAATTAGGTATGAACGTGAGCAGGTCGTACAGGCGCTGCGTGCAAGTTTTAACAATCCTGATAGAGCTGTCGAGTATCTCATAACAGGTATACCAGCGCAACTCTTCGAGGATCCACCTGAAGATCCACCAGAAGCACAAGAACAACTTCAGGATCAAAGTCAAGATCCATTGGCCTTTTTACGTTTGCAACCACAATTTCAACAAATGCGTCAGGTCATTCAACAGAATCCACAGCTGCTGAACAATCTTCTTCAACAAATCGGTTCCACTAATCCTGCCCTTTTACAGCTTATTTCTCAAAATCAGGAAGCATTTGTACGCATGCTCAATGAACCTGGTTAGTCTATGCTAGTGTAAAGCTTAAAACATCGTCGTTATTGTAATTGAAAATAAATTGATAATTATATAATATTAATAATATGTATAATTTGTCGTGCTTTTCTTGTAGTGGAACCTACTACGGGAACGGGGGCGCGAGTTTTACCATCTGGAGGAGGTGTAGGACCCGCGGCTGCAGCTACTGCAGGAGGTGCTGTGAATGGTGGACCTGGCGCGGGTGCAGCAACGGGCGTAGGATCCGGTTTAATACAGATAACACCACAAGACAGAGAAGCTATTGAGAGGTTGAAGGCGTTAGGTTTCCCAGAACATTTAGTCGTACAAGCATATTTCGCCTGTGAAAAGAACGAAAATCTCGCTGCTAACTTCCTACTTTCGCAAAACCTTGACGACTGAATCGCTCATCTTGATTTTGCGCGGTGTTTCGAATAAAGAACGGGACTGACAGAGGGTGGATGATCGCACCATTATCATTTTTACCTTACAATAATCATCTTTATTTTGTATATAGATATATACAATATCTATGCTATTTTATTTGTTGTGTAGATAAAATCCTGGTGTGTTTGGTAAGCGATTGAATTTAAAGATAGGCGCATACCATAACATTACATATATGTCTCTTTTAAGCATTGTTTCATATTTTTAAAAACATTTCATTCAATATCTAACACATGTTTATGAGAGAAAGAATTGTTGCTTACAGCAGATGATGTTATAAAATCCATCCTTACAGCCTACAAGTGCTCTAAGATCTTATATTTCTTTAATATATATGGAGCAATATAATTGCATTTTTATATGAGAAAGCCTTACGAGCCTTACTCTGCAGAAGAATACCTTGCAGTAGTTATATATTGAGGGTTGGGCATATATAAATTGAAGATGTGTTCACTCTCGCGTTAAGGTATGTTTTATACATATCTAAATGTTTGCATGTAGGTATAATAAGTGCATTTTGTATATTTCTCGGCTTTCTGATATAAAAATTATAGAATGCATCTGTTTGGGTATGTGTACTTGCATATATTCGTATTAATGTATGTATGTACAAAGAGATTTTCTATTTTGAAATGATAATACCGGTAAACTAATTTAAATATTAAAAAACTCTCTTATGATATACACAATTCAATAGTAAATTGTAATAGTTTGTCATAAAATAAGTATATATATATATATATATA